TCTTTCCCTTTTTGTTCTCATTTACAGTGCATCTTCATCCACTCATTCAACGGTTAGTTTAGCCTTAGCAAAAGTTTCTCTTTTAGCGATAACTGCTATATCTAAATAAACAAAATTTCTTACTGTCTTGCCATCGAAACATGCCTTTGCATATTCGTGAAAAGGCTACAGGATGGTTAAGGTTGAAAGTGACTTCAGGATGATGGCACATGGACAAAGATCCACCCGTTTTTCTTAGTAAACATTTCTGTCTTTGCTATTAGTTCTGGGAGAAGAAATTCGCGCTTTCTGAAGTTAAACCGAGTCCAGTGAGCGATTTAGCCGACAGACTGGACAAAATGATGCGAATGGAAGAAGCAGCTCGACCCCTGCCACGTGGTGCGACTTCCGAGGTGATTGGCTACTGGCTTCAGCGTACTGTGGACGCATTCAAACCCGCCTCTCTGGGCCATCACCCAATGAGGGAGCTGGGTCAACGCCTAGAAGAGCGAATACGAGCCTGGAAGACCTACGAAACTAAGCTCAATGAGGCTGTGGTGAGATTGTGCTTGTCTTGCTCATGACATTTAAATGTACGTAAATCTTTTGCAACTGTAGCCCTAGAGCTAATGTTGTTTGCTCCGGCTAAAGTATGATCGTAATTACTGCCTCAATGGAAGCGACATGAAGTTGTAACATGTAATGCTGCAATGCGGTTGTATACAAGGAACCACTACCTCCGCAGTCCCCTTTGAACAGTGTATTTAAAAAGATCCTTATGAACTCCCCATTAATAGGATGTCTTGCCTCAGATGTGTGTGATAGGCACCCCACACAGACAACAGTGGATTGGGTTTTTGAGCAAGACATCAGCTTTATTCCAACACAATATTTACTCTTTGAGCCTCTCCTCCCTCTGGTACCCGACCTCTTTGCAAAAGGTGTTTTGTGTGTGTGTTGACTAGTAATGAAAGCAAATTTGCTACTCTGCAATGATACCCTGAAACCGATAATCTTAATTTGCCTTTTAAGTGGCTTAATGAATCAAGCATTTCTATATTAAGGCACACATGGAGGAAGTCTTCAGTCATCTCCAAGGTGACGAAGCAGGCCACAAGAAGATGGATTTGGAGGTAATTGAAGAGATGCTTCAGGATGCAGAGGCAGCAGCTGCTGCCCTAGGAACTCCAACTCAGCTCAGTTCAGTGGCTATTTCACGACGTCAATTTGAGGAATTAAAAGCGGCGGTGAGTGCAGCAATGCTCAGTTCTTGCTCCCTCTTACCAAGACCGTGGTGTGCTGACACCGCAATTGGCGTGCTTCGGTTGCTGAGAGACAACGCCACACAAATGACACTTGTGTGGCGTTGATAGGCGAAACCATGAAGGGTTATTCAAATTAGCCTTTGGCTTTGAAATTTGGGCTGTTTTCCATGATATAAACGATGTCAAAAATGGTCCTTTTCGAGAGATAAAGTCGATCAACTTTTCTACCTTTTAGACGGAAGAAAAAGCTAGGGAAGTGGCTCTTTTAGAAGAGGTGGTTAGAAAGAGAGTTCAAAAAGTGCTAACATCCATTTCCAACTGGAATGGCAGAGCTCAGGATCTGCTCACGGTGCCAGAACAGATGCCGAGGAAGTTGACTGAGAAGATAATCGCCATTCGAGAACTTTTGGCCGAAACGGACCCAGTAAGTTGGGAGTGAAGCGGAGACTAAGTCTTTCTACTCACCACCCAAAGAATGGGGAAATAGAAGTGTAGAATCAGAGAGAAACAGGAAATTCCACTGCGCAACTAGTCATTAGGCGAATATCTGCACCGATATTAATACGTGCTATCGAAGCCCAAATGCGCAGCTCTTGAGTGCGGATACGAAGAAATGTGATTTCTAAATAGACCAAATGCGTGATTTTACAAATCCTCTTTTATTTTCCAATATTTTATTCATCACACTTTCACCTTCTATGCCATTCAACATTGCAATCATCCGTGATTCCTCTAACCTAGTTGGACAGTCTACTTCAAAGTTTTGAACACCCCAAGCCGGAGACACTTACCGATGCACAAACTGAAGAGATGGATGCAGTAACTACGGAATTCTTCCAACATCAACGAACTCTCTCAGCTCAATTGAAGAATTTGGAGCAAAT